TCATAAACTTAATACTCGAAGCAAAACTTATTTAACCATACAAACCGTGCATATTTATGAATGTATCAGTGATTTTCTTTTTATGCAATATGGTCTATGAACACAAAATCATAAGATGTGCAAGACACACACGAATCAAGAAAGAAAGGAGGCCCACAGAGACTGCTTGGAGTTCTGTGCTAAAGTCCTGTTGAAGAATAAATATTGTCACACCAAATATTGACTTTCAAGCTTGTTAAAATCTTACAAACTCTGCTTATGCCTGATTTACTGTATTCCTATTTATGTTTCCTCATGTTTCAATAAATATTTATCCAAAATATTAAGAAATTGGGAATAGTTCAAGACCTTTCCGACTGCTCATGCTGACCACTGTCAAAGGCCCATAGTGGACATATGGGTGTCAGAATTCACTCATAGAGCAATGGAAGAAGGTCCTGTTTGGATGGTTTTATGAAGTGCATCTTGTGCATGTGTCAGTTACATCGGTAACAGAAATCAGAGTCTTTATTGTCATTGTGCTTTAAGTAGAACGAAATTGTGTGCAAACCCGTTCAGCTCAAGTGAAATTTTAAAAGAACAATAAATAAAATATTTATAGTATATACAAGACAAGAGAAACCTCTGTATATATAAAAAAAAAGAAAGCACTGTAACAGGAGACAGCAGGGTGCATGATTGGCAGAGGTGGCAAAAGCACAGGCATTCTTCACTTAAAAATGCTTGTGTTAAAAAAATATTCAGATAAAGGTTAAAATACTGATTCAATTTCTTTGCTCAAGTAATAATTAAAAAGTAATGACTCTGAAATGTCCTCAAAGTATAAAAGTAAACAGGAGCTCTTTGGAAGACATTTCTACTGGGTATTTTTGTGAAAAGCTATCTGAACCTCATGTCATACTAATATAAAAATACAAGAATTCAAAATGCAAGGAATTACAAACTTACAAAACTACAAAATTTAGCTGGGATAGGCTTCAGCTCTCCCAGGACCCTTATGAGGATGAGCAGAAGAGAACGGATGGTTCTTCCTCCATCTCTGAGTAAAGTTATCAGTCATTCTTTTGTCTTTCTGAGAAACACAGCAGATGCACATTTAACTAGCAGACACACTGCACAGAAAAACTACGCAGGGAAATGTTGTAGTTGAAATGATATGCTTTCAAAAGCAACCCCTTTCATTCCTTTTTTGTAGCATAAGCTAGATGCCGTAATACAGCAACCACAACTTCTGTACATCTGCACCAAAAAGATAATAAATAATGCATGAACTATATGCTTTTTTTGGTTCCTTCATCTCATCTCATGTAATTATATTTACCTACAAATACTTAGCATAAACCACTTTTTAAACAAGACAACATTTTACTGTTTTTAAACACATTTTCAACACATAAATACTTCCTTCTAACTGTATGACGTTTTTAATTCTCTTGTAATTTCATTCTTACCGTAGACTAGGAATGTCTTGTTATTTCAGCTTGTCTCATTAACAGTTTCAACACTGTTCAGCGAGTAGTTTACAGACATGTCTGCATCTTCCATGCAAACTGCTGAAGACCACAGCAATCACAAGCAGATCGATGCAGCACTGTACACCTCTTTGCAACCTCCAGTAATCACTTGCCAACTGTTTAAAACTAAGGTCTAAGAACAAAAGAAGAGAGCAAAAAAAGCAAAGAAATGACTGAACTGTACAAATAGAAAAGGCTAAATAACGTTGTCTTTAGCCAATAAGAGCAGTTTATTGTTAACTGTGTTCGAGTTTGCATTACAATTAAAAATTTAAAAAATATTCTATTGGAGTCTTTCTTCATTTGTGTTAATCATTTGTGTTTTCTCACAGTCCTTTTGAAAGTTCTGATTGATGGTTGATCAGTGTGAAAGAAAGAACTCAAGTTTGACTATCTCCATTAATATAGAGATCAAATGTGCCTATGTCCTGCAGTTTTTGCTGGTGGGTTTATTTTAATTTTTTCTAAGTAGGAAAGGGACAACAGTCTTTAATCACATGTTTATATGTAATATAGGAGGACAGTTGAATAGTGGAACATCTGTGATGCACAGAAGTATTAGGTAGTATATAGTATAAGTAAGGTTAAGCTACTACATAATACAGCGGCACCCCAAAAAGTACAGTATATTTACACTGTAAGATGTAAAATTAAAAATTAACCATAACCATATGTTCTGGACACTCGGGTAAAGAGAGGGGCTGAGCTGTCAATTGATCACCACCTGGTGGTTAGTTGGATCAGGTGGCGGGGGAGGACGCTGGACAGACCTGGTGCACCTAAACGCGTAGTGAGGGTGTGCTGGGAACGTCTAGCAGAGGCCCCAGTGATTGGCTTACCACGACTGCTACATTCTTCCTCAGTCAAACAGCAGCACTCATGCGATTGTTTTATCCCCTAGCTCCAGGTGTTGTACCAAAAAGTGATCGTCGGGCAGAAAGTGATTGCCGTCCGCGGGAGAGCGCACAGCTACTTTTGTACAACTGATGCGGTAAGGTGCAGTATGCTGAAGACAGCTTCAACGTCTGGTTGTTGAAAAATAGTAACATGACCACACCGCATTTTCTTGTTAGTAACGGTAACGACGTTGTAACGATAGAAGTAGTAATTAGTTAGATTACTCCATACTGAAAAAAGTAACGCCATTAGTAACACCGTTCCTTGTAACGCCGTTATTCCCATCACTGATCATCCACATCCTGACTAGATATTGTAAGTACTGTGTTTATGTGTAACAAGGGAGAAGAGGTATTTGGTCGGTTTTTGAAGTACAGCCTTATAAATAAACATAAATTTCTTATTTCTTCTAATTGCTAAGGAGGATCATGTCATTTTAATATATAAGAAACAATTTTGCATTTGGAAAGAATCACCTGTGAGAAAATGTGGTACTTTGCGATTAGCAGGGTTGACAGATTTCAAGGTGGATGAAGAAACATGCATATAGCCAGTATGACCATAACAGAGAGCAGACAGAATTATAAAGTGTACATTGATCTTATGACTAGCTGAAGGGAAACATGATTTGCATTCAGATTTTGTTTTCATTAGTATTCCACATGGAACTTAAAAGAAGTCTAGCATCCAGATAAACTTTAAAGTAGTTATACAGAGAAAAATACTTTCGATTTTAAGACCATGACAGGTCTGGTATGGACTTCCAACTGGATATATGACCTTTTGAATACCATGTACTTCGTTTTATCAAGAGTTTAAAACAAAAAAGTACATTAGAGTGTAAGTGGAAGAGATAATATTATTTATATAAAGGGTGGAAAAAAAACTGTTCCAAGAATGGATCCCTGTGGAACACCTGTATTTATTTTAAGGGGAGTTTACCTAATGGTTTACTGTCATTGCTAAATGTCACTATCAGCAGGTGCATTTGGATAAGTACTAGAATTGTGTCCTCACAGTTGCATCCATTCTGACAAAGGAAAATTTCATGAAGGTTTAGTGACCATGATTTTTGTTCACTAAAATCTAAAAAGTTTTAGTACGTTAAAGTTGATGTTTGCCAAAATCTGAAGACAGTTCATGAAATTCTGTGACCAGTGAAACTGTCCACTTTTTATTCATTTATATACAGAATTGTTTGTTATCAGGTAACAGGGACCTCGACCTTTACCATTTGATGACTGAAGACAGGATTTCCATCAATGAACCCAGGTGTACATTTGTAAAAGGCAATTAACTAAAATCCTGATCATAGTAATTAGATGGACGTGATGTTAAAGTAAAAAAAGTTGGACAATCCAATATTCCATTAAAAAAATGCCTGCCATTATCATATAATGGATTAACAATAAGGAATATAATGTCATTTTACTAATTCATCCATTATAAACACATTTTGGCACTTATACACTGAACATTTCCATTTTATTAGATAGCATAATCATCAGTCATGTTTCCTCATAAACATTTTTGTT